GCTCGTAATCAACGACCTCTCGCGTTTGTTCAATGTGCTGGATTCGCGCGCCCAGCGTATGCATGACGCTACTAGAGGTGCTACTAGAGAGAGTGTCGACGCGGCGCAGGTAAAGAGCGCGCCATGGGGCGGGTGGGGGCGGGTGTTGGCTCATTCTCTTAGAAGAATTGGTATTTCATTTCTAATTTTCGCTGGTTGGGGCCACATGGTTGAGAGGTTCCTTGAAGTTCAAGACCCAGTCTTGGATGTCAGTGGCCTTATCCATAACATCCAAAGCCGGGTCTTGGACTTCAAGGAACTAACAGCCCGGAGCCTGCGGTCAAGTGACTGCGTTCGACAAGAGAACGGCTGCAACTTTCGGTCACATTTTGGCGCTGACCCGCAAATCCCCGTCGGTACCGCACTCATGCGTGTGCTGCACGAGTTGCCCACTCTTGTGATGTTCAAACGGTCGCACCGACTGGGTGAGGCGGATCGGCCGGATCGGCCGAGCTGCCGCAAACTGCGTGACTAGTCTGTCACTCATCAGAGGCCGTCACACCGTCACATGCGCCGTGTGACGAGCCCGACGACACTCGGCAGCAGCCTCCGGTCGCGAGGAGGGCGAGGAGGCCGCCACTCGCAGCCCCGCTCACTTGCATATTCACACGACAATCAGCGCGCCGCCGCCGCCAACGTCAAAGGGCCTTCCCTCCCGGGGTGCGCGCGGGGCCGGCTGAAGAAAGCGGACACCGGAGGGCACCGACTGCAGGGCGGTAATTCGTCTCATTAGAAGCCACCGCTGGCCACAGACGCGCGCACGGCCGTGTGTGAGTGTGTGTGTGCGCGTGCGTGCGGTGTGTGTGATGGGAGGGCACGGGGAGTGAGTAGACAAGCCGGCCAGTCACGACGATGACTTCTCGCAATAAAAGCCCTCCTGCCCGCAAGCCTCTCGGCTCTTCCTACTATCGCTGAAGCGCGCCGCGCCGCGCCCGACAGGTGGCAGACCTGCCCCGGCTCTGCCCGGCTCTGCCCGGCCCCGACTAGCCCCGGGGGGGTTACAGGTACGGGAGGAGCCACGGCGCGAGTTACGTAAGTTCGACAACGACCTATGACGGCGAGCGGAGGGCACGCACCTGGTGACGAGGAGGATGACGGACTGCTTGGCGAGCGGCTTGAGCCGCTCCTGCTGCAGCCAGAGGCGGTAGTTCTCCTGTGTCGGCGTCCGCACCAGCTTCTTGAGGGCGTCGCCGGCGACGAAGCGCACGCCGTGCACCTCCACGGCGCGGCCCACCCGCCCGTCCTCGGAGGTCTCCGCGTTGGCAGCGTCCTGGAGGAAGTCGTAGTCGACGGGCGCCAGGACGACGACCGAGGTGACGTTGCGGCCGCGGAGCAGCGGCGCGTCCGGCAGCGGGAAGGTGGCGCCCGAAATCTGGAAGACGATCGGAGCTCCGTAATGTCAAAGTGACACAGTCACGGCCAGGGAGGCGCTGCTGCTGCTGCTGCTGCACAGTCTCAGCGGGGGCCGCCCACCCGAGCCCGCCCGGTGCGTCTGGGAAAGTGAAAGTCTCCAGGACTTATTTATGAGCATTTCTGGGAATCGTGCGAGGAGTCCACCTGAGTCCACCACTCTTAACACAATTCCTCAATCACCCAAGAGAACCTTTTACCCAGATGAAACATCATGTTCAGAGGAAACAATACACCTCTGTTCGGAAAACGAGCAGAATTTCGTTTCCTCCGTTTAACATGATAGTTAATTTGTTGAAATTTGAATAGAAAGCAGTATCAGTGTTTTAATATTAATTGAAAAAAATGTGATAGTTAAAAGTGGACATTATGTTTCTCTTCCCTTACCTTGAGTGGCAGGTACCGGTTGTAGCGATTGTCGTTCAAGACGACGGGATCATTGAGGACGGCGGCGTCCTTCTTCAGGTACTGGTCGGCCACCTGCTGGCCCTCTGCAGTCGCTGGGTCGTAGCGCACCACCTACAAAATAATACACGTTCTCTCACATGACACAAGTACGCTGAATATCAGATTCGTGATTATTTTCTTCTCTTCGTCGTTCCGGTGTCTTACCTTCATCTCCACGTTCGAGGCCTGTGCGGCTGAGCCCTGTGGGGCTGCGGCCTCCTCCACTACCTCGTCGAGTTCAGACGCGGACGGCTCGGCGTCGATCGGTGGCAGCGCGGCTCTGGGCGGCGGCGCCACCACGACCGGGCGCACCTCGGAGGCGGCGGCCTGAGACCCGCCGCCGTTGGCATAGAAGTTCTCCAGGGCGTGCTGGGGCAGGGAGTCGATGGACGTGTCCCCGATCTTGTCGTAGTCGAGGATCTGGATGTCGGCGTTGCCCAGAATCCCGGATGAGATGAGCTGCTCCCGGATGTCGTCCGGGACCTCGTCGGGCAGCTCGGCCAGCTTCTTGGTGAGGTCGATCTTGGGCTCCTCCGTCGTTGGCGCGGCGGGCTGCTGTGGAGGCTCCTCCGTTGTCGTGGTGGTGGTGGTCGCGACGGGCCTTGGCGGCTGACGCGGTGCTGGGCTGGCGGTGGTCGAGCTCGGCGTGAGCGAGAACGCGGGCTGCGGCGAAGGCGTGACGAAGCCGTTGTCGGACGAGTAGCTGGGCGTGGACGAGGAGAAGGTGACGCGGGGACCGTCCTGGTCGCTGTCAAGCACCTGCACGCTGTGCTGCTGCTGGTGCTGCTGCTGGTGCTGCTGCTGGCGTTGCTGCTGGTGCTGTTGCTGTGGCTGCTGCTGCTGTTGCTGTTGTTGACGCTGTTGCTGATACGATTGCTGCTGCTGCTGCTGCTGAGGGATCTGCTGTTGCTGCGAATGGGTCAGTGTGTGTGAGACAGTCTGTCCCTGGCCGAAGGGGCCCTGGCCTCTGTTGAGCAGGACGTGCTCCTCAAGCTGTGGAATGGACTTGATGATCTCGGAGCCCAGCACAGTCTCTCTCTGGGGCTGCAGCTGCTGGTGTTGGTGGGATTGGCTCTGCTGTGGGTTGTACTGCTGTTGTTGGATCTGCTGTTGATGTTGTTGTTGGTGGGCGAGTGTCTCTTGCTGGCTGGACGGCTGTGGAGCAAACTGCTGCTGAGGCTGGGCCTGCTGGGGGGTGTACTGGGGCTGATGTTGCTGGGGGTGTTGATGAGCGTGTTGCGAGGGGTGTTGCTGTGGGTGTTGTTGGGGATGTGGCTGGGGATGGGGCTGCGTGAGCTGCTGAGAGTACTGTGGAGGCTGTGGTTGGGGGTGCTGCTGAGAGTACTGCTGAGGCTGCTGAGGTTGCTGCTGGTGGTTAAACTGACCGTGCTGCGCGGAGAACTGGGGCTGTTGCTGACCGCGAATCTGTTGTTCCTGTTGCTGCCTGAGCAGGGCCTGCTGTTGCTGCTGCTGCAGGAGGACCTGCTGTTGGTGGCGCTCTCGCAGGAGCTGGTGCGCCTGCGGCCGCTGCTGCTGCTCCGGCTGCGGTGCGTAGGGCGGGAACTGCGGCTGCGCGGCGCCCGGGGGCGGCGGCGGTGGGTGCTGGAAGGCGGGCCTAGAGGGGTGCTGGGCGCTGGGCACGAAGGGCGGCTGCGGCCGGCTGGGGGCGGCGCTGGGCGCCTGCTGCTGGGGGAAGTAGTTGGGCCGGAAGGTGTCAGCCGCGGGCTGCTGCGGCTGCTGGAAGGGCGGCCGCTGCGGCTTGTCGCCCGGGCCGGGGATCCTCGGCCGGAACGGCTCCTGGAACGGGCCCTGCTGCTGGGCGTAGGGCGGGTAGCGCGGGTTCTGGAGGCTGTCCAGGCTGGGCTGCGGCCGCAGGTAGGCGGGCTTCTGGTGCTGCGGGGGCGGCGCTCCGCGGAGCGGGCCGGCGGCGGGTGGGGGCGGGGGCGGTGGAGGCCCGAACTGATTCTGGCGGTACGGAGGGAAGTCCTGCGGCGGCTGGTGGAAGCGCCCCTGCTGGAAGTGCTGCTGCGGCTGCGGGCCGAAGCCCTGCTGAGGGCCGGCCTGGGGTGCGTGTCCTTGGAGCGGGCCCTGCGGACGGCGAGGAAGTTAGTGATACGGTGCGGCTACTTGTACTGGGTGTAACTGTAAATACGCAGCAGTGTTGCGTGATCGCATACTCAATATGGCCGCAGGGGCCATGGCCCCTTACGGGTGTAAAGAGTAGTCAAACCCTCCACACTGCTGTACACCCGGTACAATGAGTCAAATTTGCACAGATTACGGCAAAAATGTCACCGACGCGACGTCGCTGCTGGACGCCAGGCGGGGCCAGCTCACTCACCGGGAAGCCGGTCTGCTGCAGGTGCGGGGCGGGCTGGTGCTGGCTGCGCTTGATGTGCGCGTTGGCGCCGCTGTCCGCCTGCTCCGGGAAGCGGATGGTGGGCTGCGCCGGGTAGGCCAGGGACGGCTGCTGCGCCGACTCGCCCTCCTCGTGCCCGTCCTGCTTGTCGTGCTTGTCGTCCGCGCCGTGCTGCGTGTGCGCCGAGGGGCGCGCGCTGCCCTCGTCGTCGTGTGGGCCGCCAAACGTCACCTGCACAAGGGGTTTGAATGTTATGAGAAATTTTGTGAATAATGTGAAAATTTGACTTGAGATTTTGTGGATAATGTGAAAATTTAATGTGCACTTTTATGAATAATGTGAAAATTTTATGTAAATTAAATCAAGGGCAATACTATACCTCCTAAATGTGGGGTACCGGCAAAATTTGGGACATGAGAAAACACATCAGAAGCCTTACCATTTTGCTCTTACTACCCCTAAATTTTCCTTACAGGGCTAAATCCAGTGTCAAAAACTTGACACCGAACGGACACGGCTTCGCTTCGCTTTGCTTACCCTGAGCTTGCCCTCGGAGCCGTGCGCGGCGTGCGCCAGCTCCGAGTCGGGGTGGATGATGGCGCGCAGGGTGGTGGTCTGGCGCGGCGGGCCGGGCGTCACGTCCTCGAGGTGCTGCACACAGGATGGAGGGGGATATGAAGTACAGTCGTCTCACGCACACACATTAAAACAGCAGTCTGGCTGTTTGTAAACTCGCTTACCGCGTGGTGCTCTTGGTGGCGGTGGTGGTCCTCCTCCTCCTCCTCGAGCGGCGGCGCGGGCGTGAGCGCCGGGATGGGGTCGTCGAACACGACGCCGCTGTTGCCCTCCTTGCCGTACTCGCCGCTGCCGGTCTGCTTGTACTTGACGTAGAACACGTGGACGGGCTCGCGGGTCGGCTTCTTGGGCGGCAGCACGGGCGGCGGCGGCGGCGCGGGCAGGCTCTCGTTGGACTCCTTGATGATGATCTCGATGATGGGCTCCGGGTACTCGTGGTGCTGCGGGGCCGGCGGCCCGTACTCGTCGTAGGCGGGCGGCGGCGGCGCGCCGTAGGTCGCCTCCCGGCGGTTCTTGGCGCCGCGCAGGTTGGCGGCGGCGGCCGCGCGCGCGCTGGCGGCCGCGTGGGGGCCGCGCGCGTGGTGGTGGCTGAGCGACCGGCCCGGCCGGCTGTGGTACAGCGGGTCCCGCTGCGAGTACGGCACCATGGGCTCCATGGACACGGCGTACGGCGAGCTGGCGCCCGCGGCCGCCGCCTCCTTGCTGACGGTCGCCGCCAGCGCCGCACCCAGGCAGAGCGCACTCAGCGCGGCCTGAAACAGGGGCGCGTCATCGGGATCAGAACAATAAGCAGCCACTGCTGTGCATCGTCTGAGCAAAAGCATCCCCTGGCAGCGCACTGCACTGAACCGCGTGCAGACGTGTGGACAGGTTGCCTATTCGCACGGGGCCACAGGGCGATCCGGATACGATAGGCAAACCCACCCGTCCGTCCGCACGTATGGGTTCCGGTTGGTAAACGCATTTGATCGGACGGGGCGACCACCCTGTGAGGTTGTGCAAATGAGAATAGAAAGTTGGTCTTCCTTGAGGTATTTTTGTTACCCCGGGAAAACAGAATAAGTACATCGGACAAAATGATAACCTGAAGCGGGTATGGCCTAAATGTACCTGAGATAAATGAGCTCATCAACTGCCTCGAGTTTTGTAGTTTGTGATGCTCGGCTGAAAGGTCGCTGCAGTCAGCAACCAGCCATAACGTAACATCTCACCGTGCGCGGAGGACGAACGGCAGTACGTCCGAGTACCTCCAAAACTAGGGCGCGCGCCAACGAAACGAAAACAAAACTCCCAAAAAGTGATGAAGTCCCAAGATGAGGTAACGCGGCGATATCCACCAGCGGTTTTGTCAGTGTAGCAAGGACAAGAAGAGAAGGAAGAAAAAGAAGCTACGCGTTATCTCCGTGGGAACGCTGTGCTGTTGCTGTTACTGCCCCCGGCAGCCCCCGCGCTGCCATTTTCACTTGCGGCAAGAAGGTATGGGAGAGGATGCCGACGGGATGAAAATATAAAAAGCAACGAGATGAAGGAGGAGGAAGAGGAGGAGGTGGAAATAATGATAAGAGGCAGAAGGCAGCGGAGACCCCGCGTTACACAGTATGTACACCGCATGCATGAACTTTATGGGTATACATCGTAATTGGATGAGCAATAGCGAAACGCATTGGAGAGGCCGGACTCACTCGCACGCACGCTTACAGACGCGCGCGCGCGC